ACCGAGTACGACGTGGCCTGCAGCCACACCAGCCTCCGAGGAGCTCGGTACATGGCCAACGCACATGATAGTAGCTGGCGAGGAAAAGCGTGCTTCTTGGCTGCTTGAATGAGCCGACGCCAGCAGATGCGATCAAAGCACTTCTCGATACCCACTATGGCTGTGATGACGCCTTTGTTGGATGCCAGGGCCGCTTCAGCGCGAAGAAGGGCACGAGCGGCAACATCTTGAGTCGTTTTGCCGACCGCCAAGGCAAAGTAGGGCCGATCATGCTCATGAAGCCGCTGCCGAAGTTGGGCGCTACGTACTTGCGTCCATGCCCGATACGCGGCCTGCAGGAGCGCAATGGGTCTCCAGCCGCCCTTGGGCTTGGCCAGCAGCACCATGTGGACGGCCATGAGCTGGGTCGGCCAGCGCTCCCAGTGCTCTGCCAGCCACATGATGTAGACGAGCAGGGCGAGGGTAGGCTCGCTGAGGAGGCTCAAGGACCCCGGGGCCAGCTTGTCCGCACCCTGGCCCGTGTGCCATTTGAACTGCTTGGCGGCCCGCCGCACCTCGGCGATCATGGGGACAGGAAGGGCAGCTTTTGGGAGGCTCCGCAAAGCCTCCCTCAAGTCGGCCGCGTCGTCGCAGTCCTCGATGTGCTGCAGCTGAAAATCGCCCTGGCCCTGCCCAGCTCCATTCACTTGCGCAAGCGTCGGGAGCCGCGACGTCGTAGTAGCATGCCAGATGTTGGCCCAACGGTCCATCTGATCATCAGCAATGTGCTGCGCCGAGGATGTAGGGCCCCCGTGGCGATGGACCTGCGCGCGCGGTACCCCTGCAGGCTTGGTGAAAGAGAACAAGGGTTTGATGCGGCCCGCCTCGCAGCTAGTAGCCCAGGTGGCGAAAGACCTTCTCCTGTCTCGCATAGCTGCCATCTCCAGCTCCTCGGCATACATTCCGAGCCATGCGACCACGGCACGCACGGCGTCGCGGGCTGCATCGCGAAGGCCGGCCGCGGAGACGCGTGGACAGCAACCAGCAGAGTAGGATGCCCCGCCAGGGGGAAAGGCCACCATCGTCGCCATCGATGTTCATGCGCCGCGCGCCCCTCGCACTCCCCACGTCCGTAGACTGGCCCCCCAACTGCCCCGGCTCCGCCCCGCGCAAGGGCCTTTGTCGGCCCAGGGGCTCGATGGGCAGGGCGGCGCACGGCCATGACGGAGAAGACGAGGGGCTCGTAGATGCAGCCAACGAGACCGATGAAGTCAAAGTAGCTGGCGGTGTCAAAGGAGAGGTCCGAAGGTAGGGGGACATGACGGCGGCGAGCCCAGGTACTGCAGCGCCAGGGCGACCACCACCCTCACGATTACTGATGAGGTCCTCAGGAGCATCAGGGGAGAGGGGCACCGCGCCAGCCCCAGGTGCTGGAGCGCCAGGACGGCCAGCGGGTAGGTACGTGCAAGACTCCTCGCCGCAGCCAAACTTTCGCCTCTTGATTGAAGGAGAAGACGAGGGCCTCATCGACGAACACAACGAGGCCGATGAAGTCAACGCAGCTGGAGGTGCCGAGGGAGAGGCCTGAGGGTAGGAGAACGCGACGGCGGCGGCCCCAGGTACTGCTGCGCCAGGGCGACCAGGACCATCGCGATTACCGCCAAGAAACTCAGGAGTAACAAGAGAAAAGGGGAACCGCGCCAACCCCAGGTGCTCGAGCGCCAGGACGGCCAGCGGGCATGGACGTGCGTGACCCCTCGCCAGAGCCCAGCTTTCGCCTCTTGACTGTGTGCCGCACGCCGCGCGCACCTCCAGCACCCGTAGACTGGGCTCCCGACTATCCAGGCTCCGTCCCACTCGTGGGTCTACGTCGGTCCATGGTCTCCGCAGGCAGGTCGGCGCGCGGCTGCACCGATGAAGTAGACGCAGACGCCGCAGTCGACGCTTCCGCTGGTGTCGACGGCGCCGCAGCAGATGAGGCCCTGGAGGGCGGGAAAGGGGAGGTGATCACGTCGGCCCCTGGTGCTGCTGCGCCAGGACGGGGGGCGCGGTCGCGATTGCTCAACTTCAGCACGCTGGGGGGACTCACGCAGTAGCTGCCGGTCCCAACGGCCTCCACTGTAACCCCAGGAATAAGAAAAGAGACAGGATCGGCATCATCCCCAGGACGACCAATAGCCGAGGAAAGAGACGGTGAGCACGCCGTAGTAGCACCATAGGCCGTCGGCCGCTGGTCAGGGATCCAGCGGTCTGAGGCAGCCGCAATGTTCCGCACCACGGGGAAAAAGGCCACGCAGAATCTGCACCACCTTCTGACATTCAATGCCCAGGTACGCCCGCTCCGCCGCAGGCGATGCCAACCTTTCCAAGCGGCGAAGGAGCTGGTCATCAGCATGACCACCACGGAGAAGGTCATCGGCAGCCTGGGCCAGGCGTCGAGCCCTTCGTGCATCAGGAACTGCTGCAGGGTGTGGCCCCGCATGAGCACCGCCCGCTTGTCGCCGCACATAGCCGACCTTAGCAGCCCGACCACGGTGCAGGCCCCCGTCAGCGCCGATGCGGTACTTCGCAAGCAGCTCGTCCTCCGCGGCATTCATGAAGGCCGCGTAAAGGGAGTCCAGACGAACCTGCGCCTGCACAGCCGTGGCCTCCCCTCTCCGTGCCACGTCAGCCTCGATGGTGCCCTGGTGGTCGGCTGCCGTCACAGGGGTGTCGCCATCGTCAGGCGCCGCCTTCGGGAAAGCCATGGGGCCTGACAGCACCAGGAACTTGACGGCCTTGGCGCGCGCGTCGAGGGGCACTTGCATGGGGCAGTGGGGCGCCGCAGGCCATCCTGGAACTGGCCTCGGCTGCGAGAGCGACCCAGCAAGAGACAGACTGGAGAGCCAGTAGTCGATGTTGGAATAGTTCCCTTTCGCGCTCCGGCAGGTGCCTCCAGACGCTCGGGCCACGGTGGCGGCTGGAATATAATCCAAGAAACCATCAGCATCAAGAGCGGACGGCTCACAGTTGAAATCCGCTGCCAAGATAAACGGCCTGTTCCACACACGCAGCGCCGTTGCAATGTCGAAGAGGCGTGCAGTATTGACTCCAGCGGCCCACTTTCCAACCTCGAAGTAGGCAGCAACCAAACAACTCCCCCTCTGGTGCCGAAATCAGCGCGGCAAACTACGGCGAAACTCGGTAGCAAGTCAAAAGAGTCGGGGACGGCCGAGGTGCCAGGCATGGCAGTCACGCTGATGTGGCGTCTGATGAAGAGTCCGACCCCAGCGGGCGCCCGCCCAGACTCCAGTCGCCGACACGGTGTGATGATGGCGTGCCACCCCTCCCGAGCTGCCCACCCCTGCGCGCGCCGAAGCTCATCCACGTCGACGCGGAGCCACTGCGCCGCGACAGCCTTCACCGAGGGGTCGCACTTCTCCAAAAATCCACGGCAGGTCCCCCACGACGAGCCGTTGTAGGTGACGAGCACCACGTTCTTCCTGGCTGCACGTCGTCTGCCTCGCCGCTCACATCTGGCCCGCGTCTTCCCATGCTGTAGCTGCTGCTCCAGAGGGACGAAAAGCGGCTGACGCCTTGGCTGCAGGCGCGAGGGGGGCCGCTGGAGCTGCCGTCTGGCCTGAGGCGGCAGCCGCTGGCGCCGCAGAGGCCGCAGCGGGGACCTCCGCGTGCGGGCCAGCAGCGTCGGGTGCAACCCCAGTGGCTGCGGCATGCAAGGCCTGCGCAGCAGGGAAGGCCATTCCCATGGCTTGGACCTGCGCGTTGATCGACTCGAGGAGCGCGATCCCTTGGCCGTTCTGCACCTGGGTGGGGGCCACGCTGAGCAGGGTCTGCAAGCCGCACAGGGCGGTAGCCAAGCCCTGCAGGTCCACTCCGCTGGGGCCCGCAGCAGCTGCAGCGACGGCCCGAGTGGCCTGGGCTGCCTCCTGCTCCAGCACCTCGATCTCGCCGTCGATCGTGGTCTGCAGCCTGTGCAACGTGGCGACTCGCTCTTCGGCCTCCAGGAGGTCAGCGCCCGACTTGGCCCGACGCTCGCGCGCATCCGTGAGCTTTGCCTGCAGCTCGCGGAGGACGGCATCGGGCGGCTGGGCCTGCCGCTCGGCCAGCTCCAGGTCGGCGAGCTCGGCCTTGGCGGCGATGATGAGCGGATGGTCGCCGGCGTACTGCAGCCCCTGCAACGCCTTGAGCCCTTGTCTCGCCCGAGCCACAGGTGTGGTGGCCGCAGCATCGTGCCGAGGGCCACCAGCAGCACGATCACCTGGAGGACCCGAGCGACGGCGCCTCCGAGCCGAAGTCGACCGCGGCGGTTGGCCTCCGTCGCTGCCAGGCGGCGTCTCGGCGGGGGGCGCACGGCCAGCACGGTCACGGCCGCACTTCCAGCACGTCTGGCGGCTGCCGAAGTTGGTCTTGAAGCCGCAGGCCCGTATGGCCGCGCGAGCCCACTGGGCGTCGGCAGCGCCGCCTGGCGAGGCTCGCCACGGCGGCGTGGCCATGGGGCCAGTCGAACGGCAGTCGCCGTGATGGCCCGACAGCCAAGCCCTGGCGACAGCGGGACGCCGCAGCCGCCGAGCGCTGGCCCGACGCCGCGGCAGCCGCCTATGCCAGGCAGGCGAGGGCGGCCGCTCGCGGCGCACACCGCCGCCGCCGCCGCCGCCGCTCGTGAAGATTGCACCTCGCGCGCCCGCGGGGGGCGGGAGGCTGGGGGCTCGCGCGCACGGGCCGCCCCTGGCCCGCAGCGAGCCACCTTGAGCCAAAATGGCTACGGAAGAGGAGGAGGAGGAGGAGGAGGAGGAGGAGGAGGAGGAGGAGGAGGAGGAGGAGGGAGGAGGAGGAGAAGGAGGGAGGAGGAGGAGGAGGAGGAGGAGGGAGGAGGAGGAGGAGGAGGAGGAGAGGAGGAGGAGGAGGAGGAGAAGGAGGAGGAGGAGGAGGAGGAGGAGGAGGAGGAGGGAGGAGGAGGAGGAGGAGGAGGAGGAGGAGGAGGAGGAGGAGGAGGAGGAGGAGGAGGAGGAGGGAGGAGGAGCCTCAATGGCGCCAAGCTCGATACGATAGCCGCGGAACTTTACCTGGCGGTCGACCCTGCCCGCAAAGTGGAGCTCCCCGTCCATCCAGACCGCCATGTCGCCCGTGCGGTACAGCCTTGTCGGCGGGGAGCGAGGGGGGGAAGTGAGAAGGAGAAGGCCTTCTCAGAAGGCTAAGAAGTCCCCCGGTCTTCTGAGACGTTTACTGATCCTTCCCCGAAGGTACAGAAAATTTCTAAGAATGCGCGAAGGATTCTGAGAAGTCCCGCCACCTTCTGAGAAGCCCTTCTCCTTCTCATTTCCCCCCCCTCGCTCGCCGCCGAGCCTTGGGCATGGAGGGCTGTCAGCAGGCAGCCAGCCCGCTGGCAGCGGGTTGGCTACGAAACGCTCGGCCGTCAGGTCGGGGCGGTTCAGGTACCTGAAAAGGGGCCCAAGGACGCAGAAATGAATACACACAGATCCCAGGACCCCCCACATGTCCCGCAGTTTCTGGATGTTCGTCTCCCCCTCCACTTCCCATATTTTCCATGTATATATAATTATATATAATTATGTATATATATATATATATATATATATATATATATATGTGTGTATATAGCGACTTCTCGTTTGCTCTATCACTTTCTATTGGTCCCAAACTTCTCTCGGCACTGGGAGCAACCCAAGCAACCACTCTGTCAATGTCGCCTTCAAGCGTGGCGCACTTACACCTGGGTCACCTCAAGTCAGGGCCTCTCGGAGCCAGGGACTCCGAGGATGTTTCAGGCGAAACGGGCCTGGGCACCTCTCGGACCAAGTCTTGGAACGCAGAGTTGTGGGAACGTCTCAAGCGAAACGGGCCAGAGCATTTCAATTCAGGGCATCTCGCAGAAGCCCTGGGCTCGGAGGATGTCTCAGGCGAAACGGGCCTGAATACCTCGCGAACTACGTCTCGGAACCCAGAATTGTGAGGATGTCGTAGGCGAAACGGGCCAGAGCACCTCGTGAACTGTGAACCGCATCTTCAATCCAGAGTTGCGAGGGCGTCTCAGGGGGGGTCCGAGGATGTCTCAAACGAACAACGTCATGAACATGCCTCAAATGAAACGGGACTGAGCATCTCAAGTCAGGGCATCTCGGAACCCCGGGTTCCGATTATGTCTCAAGCGAACCAGGCCTGAGCGCCTCATGAACCGCGTCTTCAACCCAGGATTGCGAGAACGTCTCAAGCCAAACGGTCAGAGCCAGGGATGCCGAGGATGTACCAAGCGAAACGTGCCTGAGTACCTCGTGAATCTTGGAACCCAGAGTGGTGAGGACGTCTCAAGCGAAACGGGCCAGAGCACCTCAATTCAGGGCATCTCGAAGCCTGGGGTTCCGAGGATATCTCAGGCAAAACCGGCCGGAGTACCTCGCGAACCACATCCTGGGACCCAGAATTGTGAAGACATCTCGAGCGAGACGAGCCAGAGCACATCAGGTCAGGGCATTTCGGAGCCCGAGGCTCCGAGGGATGGCTCTCCGTGGGCCATGGCAGTGGGGCGCACCCGGCTCTTGTGAGGGCAACCCCTCCTCGGCACCTCCCCGTCACCGCCGCTGGGGCTGCCGGGGTCGCCCGAATCTGTCCCGGGCGACACGGGCATCGAGGCTCAGGTGCCAAGGGCTCCTAAGCTCGCGCTTCGCGCTGCGCGAAGCGCGAAGCGCGAATAACTTCGCGCCCTCGCGCCGCCCCCCCAAAGGGAGAATAGGAGGACGAGGAGGAGGGGGGAGAAGGAACGAGGACCGCGAAGCGCGAAGCGCGAATAACTTCGCGCCCTCGTGGGAGCCCTTGGGTGCACTGCCCCCCTCGCCAGCCAGGGCAAGCCCTGGATGGGGCCCAAAACAGCACCAAAAGCCAACCGAAATGGCAAGCGAAGGCCATACGGCTCCGAAACACACACCTCCACCCCGTAAAACTACCGGACCGGTCGTGGCATCCCCACAGTCTGGGCGCGAACGGGCCCGTAACACACCCATCGTCGGCAGAGCACCAGCCCGCATAACCAGGCACGATCGAGCCACGTCCAGCCCTGGCGACGAGAAGTGTCCCGAGAGCATTGAAAACAAGAGTACGTGTCTGACAGCAGTACGAGCATTATCCTTCCTCCCACTCATCCTCGGTCATCCTGCTACTCCTTCGTCCTATCCTCCTTCGCTTCGCACTCCCCAATGGTTGCTCGGAATTGCGGGGACGTCTCATGCGAAACTGGCTGGACCCTCTCGAACGCGGCATCTCTTTGCCCATAATTGCGGGGACGTCTCAGGCGAAACAAACAGAATCAGCTCGCCGGCGGCACCTTGAAGCCTTATGTAGCGACGATGCTTCAAGCGAAACGGACGAGGCAACCCAAGGTCACGGTATTCCCGAGCCCTCGAGGATGTTTCAGGCGATATGGGCTAGACCACCTCTCGCGTAGCGTCTGGGAACCTAAAGTTGCGAGGACATCCAAAGCGAAACGGGCCAGGCCATGTCAAATCAGGTCGTCTCGTAACGCAGACTTGTGAGTATGTCTCAAGGGGAACGGGCCGAACAACCTCAGCATGTTGCCCATGTCTCAACGCGCGGGCCCCTCGGGCGGTATTCGTTCTTACCGCCACATTGTCCCCCTGCACCGGCCAAACGACCAGGGAACACTCTAAGACAATATCTATGGAACGGAAACGTACGAGAAGTTCCCAGATGTTCCTTGGAATCGATGATTATTTGTGTTTGCGTGTTTTTCCCCAGCCGTCCTCTGGTGTTGGGTTCTCGCTCGGACGAAACAGCGCCCCGCATCCTTCCTCCACATTCCTCCTCCTCCCGCTCCCTCCTCCCATCCTCGTCTCTGCCCTCCAAATGTCAACCTGATCAGCATACCCATCACACGTTTCGGGGCTCAAAGGGGTGCGAAGGCCCCAGCGGCAGAGTCCGCATGGCGTGCCCGCACCCGATTTGGAGCTCCTCTCACACGCTTCGCGGCCACATGTGGAGCTCAACCGAAGGCCCCAGCAGCAGGGTCCGCATGGTGTACCCGCACCCGAGTCGGTACACCCGTCACACGCTTCGTGGCCCCACAGGGGGCAAAACCGAAGGTCCCAGCGGCAAGGTCCGCATGGCGCACCCGCACCCGATCCGGTACACCCGCACAAGCTTCGCGGCCCGACGGGGAGCTCCACCGAAGGGCCCAGCGGCACATCCCACCCACGCCCGAATCCTCTTGCCAGACCCCCTCCTCTCTTTCACCTGCCTCGCGATGTTCCTAGGGCTCCCAACTTCGCGCTTCGCGCTGCGCGAAGCGCGAAGCGCGAATAACTTCGCGCTCTCGCGCCGCCCTCCCAGAGGGAGAATAGGAGGACGAGGAGGAGGGGGAGGAGGAACGAGGACCGCGAAGCGCGAAGCGCGAATAACTTCGCGCCCTCGAGGGAGCCCTTGCCTCTGCCAGGCTGACTTCCATCCTGGGCACCCCCGTGCCAGGCAGTGCCCGAAGCAGATCTCGCCGGGGACGCCGTCGGGGACGGGCCGCTGCCAGCGGTCCAGCAGCAGCACCACCGTGTTGTCGATGGGCGTGCCCAGTGGGACCAGAGCGTCCAGTGAGGAATCATCGTGGTCGCAGCACCTCTCTGTTAGGAGGCAACTACTGGGAGGTTTTCGTCGGAAAAAATAAGGAGGATTAAGCCCCATTTGAAAGCTGTTACGCCAGAATGGGCCTCGGACTAAGCAGGATTAAGCCGGATTAAGCGGGATTAAGCGGGATTAAGCGGGATTAAGCCAGATCAAGCGGGATTAAGCCGGATTAAGCCGGATTTCGGACCAGGGCTACATCAGAATTTGACCTCCCAGGAGTTGCATCCGAGTCTTTGGTGGGACAAAACGGTAGGATAGCAAAGGCCACGGTAGAGAATCGGCTCACATAGTGGTTTTCCTGTCGTCTCCTGGCGCTGGGAGGCGCCCATGTATCGAGGAATGGGCCCGGCGGCGGGCCGGAAACCGGCTGCACGCAGCAGAGTTCCCCTCCCCCATTTACCCAATCCCACCCTTCCGTCCGGCCCGAACCTCCAAGTCATTGACCCTTCTGTGGGGCCGTAGAGATTGTAGATGCTCGCCTGGGGCAGAACGGAGCTGAAGTCCCGCACCGTTTGCCGCGGCAGTGCTTCGCCACAGGCCACTACCCAGCGCAGCGAAGACCGATGCGCATGACTCTCGGCCTTTTTCACCTGCAGCCAATGCCGCAGCAACGCCGTCAAGTGCGATGGCACGAAGAACGCGTGCGTGCAGCGCCCGACCTCAATGAGCTTGAGCAGCTTGGGCAGCGACTCTACGATCTCCATTGGCGCCACGAGCATTGTAGCTCCAACTGTGAGCGGCCAGAAAATCTCCCACTCGGAAATACCGAACGTATACTGCGTCTTGAACAGCACTGTATCCTCTGTGCTGAGGGAGAACTGCCGCTGGAACCAACCGATGCGCATGGACAACGACTGGTGCTCGACCATCACGCCTTTTGGTTTCCCGGTGGTGCCCGACGTGTACATGCAATAGACCAAACTCTGCGGGCTCGCAATCCGCATCTGCGGTAAATCTGTAACGATTCCAGGTGGCACGACCAGCCCTGCTCTGCTGGCGCACACGACCTGGCCTGGGTAGTCGGTCGGTAAACTGGAAGCGAACTCTTGATTCCCCAGAAGCACCATTGGGCACGATGCGCCAGCATCCGACAGGATGTCCTTAATGCGGACCGGAGGGAACCGCGCATCGATCGGCAGGTAGCCGCATCCAGAAAAGAGCACACCGAAAATCACCGCCGCCACGTCGGCTGATCGCTCGAAGAGCATACCGATAAGCAGGTTCTCGTGGCAGGCCTCTCCCAACACCGTCGTGATGCCCAGGGACACCTTTCGGGGAACTCGGGTTGGTTTGACGAGGCCGTCAGGAAAATGACGCGGTCCAGTCTGAAATTTGACGCGAGCTCCAGCTGCAAGCATCCCGCGAAAACTGGACCGTCAAAATCCTGGACGGGCTCGTCAAAAAGCGCCTGCACGCCCGAGGTCTGGCGAATTCGAGTCTTGCGGTTCCCCTGACCTTGAGGGCGGCGACGCGCAGATCTGCGTAGGTGACATTCTCCCCACCACAGACGACGGCAACCTTTGAGGCAGAGCTCTTCGACTCCGCCAGGAACTGCTCGTGCAAGGTCAAGGGACTGTAGGGCTGAGCCTTGCCGGCCCTGTCCGCGACGGCGCGGTCCTCCTCTGCGTTCAACAGCGGGAGCTGGCGCAGGCAGGCCGACGCGGCGTCGGAAGCTGCCTGTACGACCTGGACAAAGCGGCGGACCCAAACCTCGGCGGCACCGGCGGTCAAAAATTCCGCGCGGTACATGAAGAGGAGCTCGTCGCCAACCGCCATCAGTAAGACACTGGCGAGCTTGTCAGGGCGTCTGTCACGGTGGCCGTTGACGACGGCAAACTGAAACGGAGCGGTGTCGAGCGCTCTCGCGTTCCACGAATCCCCACCTGGGGGAACAAAGAGATACAAATACCGCAACTCCCCAGGGAACGACCTAAACCGTGTTTTTCGTTTTCGATTTGGTCTCCTGTTCCCTCGTCTTGTCTTCCATCCGCCTCTGCCGCAACACGACATCGAAGCGAAAACGGACCACGCAACCGCCAAAACACAGTTTAGGTCCACCCCTGCCGGGGCGCCACCCGACCAGGATGTCGAGGCAGGTCCAGCCGTGACGGCGAGGGCCCTCCAAGAGGCCCAAAGGCGAAAGCGGGGGGACGGCGTCGGCTTCTGCACTCTGGATATCATGCCAGTGGTGGGATATCCCTCTCCTCCTCCTCCTTCTTCTCCTCCTCCTCCTCCTCCGCATCCTCCGCATCCTCCTGCAGCGTAGCCAAAGGGGGCGCAACCAGTATATGACTCCGCCGTCGGCTCTAAGGCTGAGGGTGCTCGGTGGATTTGCCACTTCACGACCGGCACTACCTCGCGGTCGGAGATCGTTGTGACCTCTTCCGAAAGTCCTCTCGATTCGCCGCGGAGGGCGCTCTTGAGAAAAGACCCAGCGAACATAGGAAGGAAGGCACGAGGGGAGGGGGCGAGGAGATCCCACGCCTCGAGAGGGCAGAGAGGGATGGGGCGCTCTATGATCGCTGAGACCAGCCGTCGGAAGTGGAGGCAGAGCCCAATAGTGCAGGAACGAGTCGGTGCAGGGTCGGCCTCCCGGAACAGCTCCGGCAGGACATCGGAGACGGCACGGGCCAAGGAAGGGGTCGTGAAATCTATAGCTCGTAGCCCAAAGCCCCGTCAAAGCTTTCAGGCGAGCATTGGCATGGGCAGGGGAGCACCGCATGAGGGCGCTCCGCACTAGATCCCATGAAAATCGCTCGAGCTTCGCAATCGACAGCGGGAACGAATTGCGAAGCCTGCGTCTGAACAGGCTCGCAATATCATCGGGGCACACACACACACTTTCGATTAGGTCGCCGTGGAGTATCCTCTGCGGGTGGAGGCCCTTCACGGCGCGGCGAGCAATACCTGGGGCCAGGATCGGGCGCCCTGTGGTACGAACGCACGGGATCTCACGGTCGGCGCAGGCAGCCAGGAGACGATCACGGGCCCCCGACGCAGCTCTCGTGAGGCTCGCCCCTGGGTGCCCCAACGCCGCGAATTAAAGATTTTCGGCTGTGGAAGGCGAGCGCCACCACCGCGGGGGCAGCCTGCCTTCGGCAGCCTCCTGTAAGGTGAGCTGGGTTCCCGCCGCCCTGGGTCGCTCTAGAGCATCTGGCCACGAGCGGAAGGTGATAAAGGGGGGCGCGCATGAGGGCAGCGGCAGAGAGGAGCGGGACAGAGAGGACTCGAGGCCCGCCCCAGTACCGCTGCGCGCACCAGTCGCGGTCACGGATGGCACGGTAGGGCAGATTAAAGAGGCTGGCAAGGATGGCAAGTTCGCGCTCAACCACCCACGGGTCCAGCGGCAAAAGCTGGGCCACATACGATAGGACAGGCACAGCTCTCTGAGAAGACACGCGGGCAGCTATGGAGGATGGGGGGATCAGACGAGGAGAGGGAAAAAGGGACCGATCTTCCCACTTGATTCTCGGAGCGCGCCAGGACTCACCCGTGATTGCTGGACCAAACCACAAGCTTAAGTATTTTGCGCAAGCAGCAATCCGAAAGGGGCTTCCGTCGGGGATCTGAAGGTCGAGCCAACCTTCGACCCATGTTTCAACGGTCTCAGAGAACGCGCAGCATTCTTGGAGACTAGCAACACTCAATGTAATTGCGCGATGGCCCTCATAACTATACCTATATCGTCCGCGCACAGCCTAGTCATGCCCTTCTTCAGAGAGCCAATCAGATCCATAAGCTGCTGCACGAAGGGGTACATGGCCAGGGCGAAAAGAACCCCGCCCCCAAGGCACCCTTGAATGATGTGTGACAGGACCTGGAAGAGGAAGGTGTAGGAGTCTCCGATCAAGCCGAAACACCTAACCCCAGTGTAGAGAAGGGGGGTGGGAGAGGAACCGACCGAAGCACCGCGAAGAGCCAATTGTGGGCCACGCTGGGGAAGGCCTGGGCGAAATCGCAGGTGACCTGGGCGGGGGGATTGTTCCGCACATCTGGAGCCAACGACGCGTAGCGACCTTTAGCATCTAGTTCGATGATGTTGCCCCCGAAATTCCGCCCCCGAGCGAAGCCCTGCCGAGGGGCCGCGAGACCAGCCGGGAGGGATTTAGCCGGGGCGCTCGCGCAGACTCCGACTAGCGCCTTGTTTTCGGAGCTCTTGAGACCTAGCGGTCGGGCACTGGTGGCGCCCCTCGTCGCGCGTCGCCCCGCGCCTCCCCTCCCCTCGCCTTCCGGGGCAAGAACGCCCAACGAACCGTGGACGCCCCCGGAGATCGGGCCGCCACCAAGAATCCACCGCAGCGAGAGCTCTCCAGGATGGCCACAGGGCCAGGGGCCCGTTGCCAGGCCAGGTGCGGGAGACCGCCAGGGCCTGCCGCCCCACGCGGGAGGGGCGTCAGGCGCCGCTCCAGCTGGTCGAGGGCGGGCGGCGGCAGGCGGGGGCAGTCCATCTTCGGGCCGAAGCGCTCGAGGAAGACCTTGATCGCCGACTCGCCGCCTTCCTTCGGGCCGCAGACGGGGGCCCCCTGCTTGGCGAGCGACATCATCATGGCCTCCGGCTCGGTCGCGACTTCGGCTCCATCGCGGACGGCGCGGAGGAATGCCCTGGGGCCGAAGGTGGCCCGCAGCTTGCCGAGCCTCCGCGGGTGGGCAGCTCGGGCCCGCGCACTCCGCGGCCGGCGTCGGAAGACGGCCGGGGGCCCGCCGGGAGCGGCGCCACCGTCGGGGGCGCCGCCCGCAGCCGTTTCAGCTTCAGCAGCGCCACCCTCTGCTTCCCGAAGGCGGCTGCCGTTCATCTCGCGGTGGAGGGCCCTGGAGAGTTGCAGGTGCTCGTCGCGCTACGCCAGGCGCGCCGCCCGCGATCCGCGGCCCGGGTCCAGGAACTTGCTCGCCAGCTGGTGCGAAGGGCACAGCTTGCAGGCGCCAGCGCAGCCGCGCTTCATGGCGAGGCGGGGGGTGCTCTTCGCGACCATGAAGCGCGCCAGCAGAGCTGCGGGTTCGTGCCAGATCACAGCATTCCGCACGTGTCGGGCAGCCCCCCACATTGCCCACTTGAAATACTCGTGCTTGATGGGGGGGCGACATGCGATCGTGGTCGCCAGCCGTCGTCGCGGAGCCCACGACGGCAGCGCACCGAAGGTGCTTGAACATCTCTGGATGCATCGCCTGGGCCCGAGGCGCGAGGCCGCGTCTGGGCTTCAATGCGGATCCGACCACAGCGTGGTCGGACAGGCCTTGAGCACGCATAGCTGCAGGGTCCTCTCGAACGGCCCTCCCCCAGACATTTGTAGAGCAGACCACCCAGGGGCAGACGAGAAGAGACGATCCACGATGTTGAGCTCGCCCGTCCCCGGATAACAGCGCGAGTGGTCACTGGCGACATATTCGAGGAGGCCCTGGGAGATGGTTTCCTGCGCTCTGTCCACGGGCGACGAATTGGGATTCCCGCGGGAGGCTCTCGAGGTCCTCCGTGGTCCTGGGGAAGAGGGGGCCGAGGGGGGAGGAGTGGCCATCTGGGTTCCCGTAGAGGCCCTCAGGGGAGCAGCGCTGGCACAAGCAGGCGGGGGGGGGGGGCTGCACTCTGGGTCCTTGAGGAGGCAACCTGGGTCCCCGATGGGGGCCCTCGACGCTGAAGTACTTGGTAACTGCGAGGGTGGGGGGGCCAAGCTCTGGGTCCGAGTGGAGGCCCTCAGGCGCGAAGAACGAGTTGAAGGGCAGGCGGGGGGGTTAGGTTGAGGAAGCGGCGCGGGGTCCACGAACGTCGCCTCGCTGGCACTGTCGGTCGCAGGCGAGTGGGAGACGTTGAGGCCCCCACCGACGAAGACTATGCGCCTTGTGAGGCCCCCTCGGGCAATTTCCAGCGAGGCTTCAATGTCCTGGCGAATCAACAATACCAGAGCGCAGTTCAAACCAAAATTGTGATTGCGATAGCGCGTTACCGAATACAGAGGATGCCCAAAGAAAGTCCCGAGTTTGAGCGCTCTCCCAGGGACCAGCTCGCGATGCTCCGCAGCTGGTCTAGCGCCCCCGAAGAGCTGTGCAGCCCCCTCAGAGCCCCACCGCGGCAGCTGGTAGAAAGTGACCACTCTCCTCGGGTCCGGCTGGTTGCGACAGAAGAATAAGGCCAGGTAGTAGTCCTTCTTGTTGAGGCACTAGGGCAGGTCGTGTCTCTGCTTTGGTACCATGAGTCTCTTGCACCCCAACTACTGCTCCATGATGTAGTCCAGCAAGACACTTCATCTTCTTGATGCGTAGTGTGCGCTCTTGTCCCGATCGGGGTGCCAGAAATAACGCACGTGCATTCCAGGTGGCCACTCTGAACGGAAAGAGCTGTCCTTCTCGGTCTCGTCGATCGCACGCCAAGAACGTTGGCAGGGTGTTAAACCGACCACTCCGTGGGCATCGCCGACGCACCAGCGATCGCGTCCTCGACCAGCGGGGCAAGCTTGTCCTTGGAGATCTGGAGCTTGCGCAAGTTGTCGGCGCTCCACTCGACGGTGGGCTTGTCGCCGCTGTCCGTGGGAGTGATCCGCAGGAAGGGAGCCAGTTCGAGCTGAGCACGCCCTTGCCCTTGTCGCTGAAGAACTTGATGTCGGGGTAGGCTTCCTCCACCACTCTGCAAGCCGCGCGCAAGGCCAACTTTCTCTTGATGGTGAACGGGTTGTTGTCGCCGCTGACGAGCAGGTTGGCGTGCTCGCCGCCCACGTCCCTGCAGGCGACCCAGCGCCCGTCGGAGCGCCTGAAGGCCCCCAGGCATTGTCCGACCTTCCTGTTCGCGTAGTTGGCTGCGCCCTTGAAGCGGATGGCGAAGCACTTGCCTGGAGGATATCCCTCCCATTTGTAATCATCATCAGGAGCCATGTTGCAGCTCTGCAAGGATGGGTCGAGGATGGCTTGCACCTTGTCCTTGGCGACGAGCGCCTTCGAGGTGATGACCAGCACCGCAGGATCGATGGGCCTCTTGAAGTTCGGGTTCTCCACGTGCCGCTCCTGCAGCGACCTGCGTGCACAACTGAGCGACCGTCGCCTGCAGCGTCGAGACGGACTGACGGATATGTCGTTGCGAGTCTGATCGAAACATGAGCGCCATACTGAGGGCTCATCGCCCACCACATGAACGCCAGCATTGTCACCAGCAGGAGCGGCAGCAGCAGGAGGACGTCCGGCGGCCGCCGCCTGAGCCCACGGGTCGCGTGGAGGCGGTGCTGCCACAGGACGCTCCTGCGCCGGGAAGGTGGCCGCCGCGTCGATGCCCTCCAGCAGCGACTGGGCCGTCTACATGGGCTCGCTGTTGGCTGCACGGGGGGCTCGCCGTTCTTGACCCTCGCGGGTGCGGCGGGGCCCCCGGCGGCGGGCAGGGCGGTCTCCATCGCGCCTGGGCTGGGGTCGGTGGTCGCTCTCATCGCCAGAGCTAGCGGCGCCGTCATCGCGAGGGCCACGCGCCGCCATTGCAGCAGGATGGACCTCGTCTTGTCCCGAACGAATGGCTTGTGCCAGTGCAGAGACAAGTTGTGGTCCCCCAAGAGCTTACTGAGCGGGGCGCGTGGGCGAGGCCTTGATGCCTTCCGACCCACAGCCCACAGAATTTAGCTCTCTGTAAGCCACCTCGAGACATGGTTTACTTGAGCCAAAATGGCTACGGACCTTCTCCGCATCCTCCTCCTCCTTCCTCCTCCTCCTCCTCCTCCTCCTCCTGGGGGTGTCTAAGGGGCCTCGTCACAAAATGTGTTGGGGCGTCTCGATTCTGGACCCAGTATGTCCCTCTCTTCCGGCCACCGTGCAATAAGATCGTGGCCAGCGGCGGGCATCCAGAAGCCTGGTGCAGGTCCGAGCTCGCAACACGCTGTCCGCGAACGTTGGCCGCGTACGCGAGGAAGGAAAGATCGTGGCGCACGTGGACGCGCACGGGAAGGACAGGCGTTTCCCCCTCGGATGCGCCAGTGGGAGGCTCAACACCTGGAAGGGAAAGCATGCACCACGCAGCATGAGCAAGACTGAAAGTGGGAACGACGTGCCGATCTGTTTCGTAACCATCCTGTGGAGTCGGGTCCACGTTTCGAGGAGACAGCGCATCACGTCCTTCTTCCTCCTTTCTCCTCCTCCCGTTCCCTCCTCCCCCTTCCCATCCGTGCCTCTGCACTCCGCATGCCAACCATGTCGATACACCCCTCGAAGGCTTCGCACCCGCACAAGAGCTCCATCGAAACCCGCAGCGGCAGGGTCCGCGTGGCGCACCCGCACCCGATTCGGCACACCCCTCAAACCGTTTCGTGGCCCACGAGGAACTCCACCGCAGGCAGGCCCCAGCGGCAAGGTCCGCACGGAGCACCCCGCGCCCGATTCGGCACACGCCTTGCACGCCTCGTGACCCACAGGGAGCTCGACCGAAAGCCCGGACGAAAGGGCCCGCATGGCATGCCCGCACCCGCTCCGGCACAACCCTCACACGCGCCGTGGTCCCACAGGGAACTTCACCGAAGGCCCCAGCCTCGCCATCGCTCGGACGTCCATTCCCTGTGCTTTGTTCGGTTTCGTGCATGGTTTTTTCGCAGGATGATCCAGGATGCTCCTTAATAATCTCCGCCGAGAAAATATGCACACGTCCGAGCGATACCAAGCAGCGGCAAGGCCCGCGTGGCGCACCCGCACCCGACTCTGCGCCCCCTCACGCGCTCTGTGGTCCCAGAAGGAGCTCCACCGAAGGCCGCAGCGCCAGGGCCCGCAACGGTGCACACGCACCAAATGTGGCACACCCCTCGCACGCCCTGTGGTCCCACAGGGAGCTCCACCGAAGGCCCCAGCGGCAAAGTCCGCGTGGAGCACCCGCGCCCGTTTTGGAACACCTCCCACACGCGCCGCGGCACCATTGGGAGCTCCACCGAGTGCCCCAGAGGCAGGGCCCGCATGTAAGGGCTCCACCGAAAGCCTGAACAAAAGGGCCCGCGTGGCGCCCCCCGCGCCTGATTCGGCATACTCCTCACACGCGTCGCACGGGGGGCTCCACCGAAGGCCCGGCCCCGGCGACAGGGTCCATGTGGCGCACCCGAACCCTTCCAAGAAGATCCTGAGAGGGACAAGTCACTGCTTTGTCTTAGTTGCTTGAGGAAGTGTGGCGCTCTCGCCTTCTGTCCTTTCCCACGCCCCAGTGATCCCCAGAGGTCTGGACCCCCTCCCCGGGACCGGTTTTTCATCCTGAGTCGTGTTTGGACGCTCCCGGGGCCCTGTCGGGGCCCCCAGAAGCCGAAAACAGTAAAAAGCCTCCCGTCCTGATCTCATCACGGCGCGAGGAGGTCTGGGGAGGCCAGCGCCAGGGCCGTCGCGGCACGAGCCTGCCGCAGGGCCCCTCCTGCGTGCCGCCAGGAGGGAGGCTGGGGGTTCCCGACGGCCCTCGGGGCTCCCAATGATCCGGCGCACACTTCACGCGGCTCGCGGCCGCGCGGCGGGGTCCACCGAGGGCCCCAGCGGCAGGCTCCGCGCGGCGCATCTGCAGTTGATGCGGCACGTCCGCGAGCGCCCCGCGACGCGCGCCGTTCGCCCCTGCGGACTGGGAGCGACGCTGGCCATCGCGCGGACGTCCATTCTCTGTGCTTTTTGTTCGGTTTCGTGCGTGTGTTTTTTTGCTCGGTCCAGGACGGTCCTCGATAGTTCTCGCCGAGAAAAAGACGCACACGTCCGAGCGATGCCGGGGACGCGCGGGTCGTCCGCGGCGCGGGGCCGTAGGGTGGCTGACGAGGGGTGGGCCGGAGCCGCCAGGCAGAGCGCGCGGGTGTCGGGCAGCACCTGGAGGCAGAGCACAGGGATCTCCCCCGCGACGCGCGCTGGTCGCCTCGGGAGGAGTCCAGCGACGCGCGCGGGTCGTCGGCGGCGCGAGGCCATGCAGTCGAGAGAAGGTGAACCTCGGGCGGGCAGTTCCTCAAGCCAAGCGCCGCAGATAAACCCCGCGAAACGCAGTTCCTTGGCGACGTCGCCAAACTAAGAAGACCACCCGCTCGCCCATGTCTGCGTTTCTCCCCAACCACGCCCCAATCCTCCTGCCAGGAATCCTCTTCCCGTTCACCTGCCTCGCGATGCTCGCAGCTGCACATGGTTGGGTCCTTCGCCAAGCTAGTAGTATCCCCTTATCAAGCGCTGCATCGAACACCAAACCAACGCCCTTTGGAAGTATGCTGTCGAAGTACTGGCTGAGAGGGCAGCGTTGAAGACTGCATGCCACGGGGCAGAGCTTCGCTAGGCACACGCCGCATCGGTCTCTACGGCAAACGCTTAACACTCAGGCGCAAGCTCGCGGGGGGAGAAGGAAGAGAGAGGAGGAGAGGGAAAACGACGTGTCGATCTTGGTCACCGTCGATCTTGGTCAGCGTCAATTCGTGGACCGTCCTCACGAACACACAACTGCGGACATGGACCATGATCAAGATCAGCATCGGCCAGATCACGCGACATCTTGGTCATGGTCCCCGTGTCTCTTCCCTCGAGCACCCAGAATCATAAGGTCCTCGTTGGAAACGTAGCTGATCACTGCAGCCAGGGCGGCCGCGACCACGTCGAGGGGGTCGAGGGGGGCTCGCTCGCGCGAGGCGAGCTGCCGGATCATCGGCAGAGTGCCCCAAGGGAACTCGATGCAGCTGTCGCCGGGTCCTCCAGACCTTGGCCTCAACACCTGGGGCACGTGCACCTCGCTCGGCGCGTCGGCAAACAAGCTCGCCCAGTCCTCGTGCAGAGATCCTGCCTCGCGCAGGCGCTCCGTCGCGGCGGTTCCCGACCCGCGCAGCGACGAGGACGAGTCGGTTGAGGCGAACGATGTCTTCTCCTCGCTCGCTGGGGCTTCACAGTCCTTGGTAAATGGCAAGGTGTGTGTAGGCACGTTGGTAAACAATTCCCCCACCTCTTTCTGCACCAACTCGAAGCTCGTGAAGGGCTTCGTCCACAATGCCAAGGCTATCCCGTACGCTTCCATGACGGCGAAGATGGGAATGCACGAGGTCTGCAGGAACAGTAGCATCAGGTATTCGACAACCCCGTGGCGCAGTTCGGACGGCCTGTACGTGAACAGAAACCCGAGCACGTAGCACCCCAAGGGGAACGCGTAGAGAAGGCGGATGCACGTATTTACCCAAGCAGGCTGATGCAACATGCACAGCACGTTCACCCACGACGCCAGTACCACGAAAGGCGACGCGCCCCACGCCAGCGTGTGGCTCCCCAGGAAGGCGCGGTGCGGCAGGGGCAGGTTGGGAGCCTTGTTTTTTCTGGGCGTTGCTTATCGAAAGCTGGGCGAGGGCTGCTAAAACCGTGGCTGCGGAAGGAAATAACAACTTCCCGGAATGAGGCGCGGCACGCGAAACAGTCAACGGGCTTCTTCCCGGAAGGGCGAAGACAACTTCCCGGAGGTCGATTTTAGCAGCCACGGTTTCAGCAGCCCTTGCCCGGCTTCCGAGCTTAATAGGAGGATGGTACTTATTGATTCAGTTTGTTTGTTTTGAAAACGGGGCGGTAACAAAAAGGGGTGCGGAGAAAAGTACACCTTTCGAGCCCCGTTTGGGCCCCAAAGGGCCCCTTCAGGGCCTCTGAGCTGTACTTGTGGTGCACCCTTCTCTCCCCCCCCCATCGATCGACCCCCCGTTACGCAACGCTCGAGCCTTCACGCACAGCCATATGCCAGAGAACCAACGGCAGCGCTGCTTCGCAAAGTCTTGCACACTGAAGGGAGACTGCTCGTACATGCAGCCCCCGCAGTGGATCACCTGCACGCCAATCTCCGCGCACTTTAGTGCGAAGAACGTGTCCTCGGTGATCGACCCAGGAATCCCCCAATCAAAACCTACGTCCATCTCTACCGCGTTGGAGCAAACCACGAAAGAGCCGTGCATGCCGATGAGGGGCTCCTGGAACAGCTTGTACTGCAGAGCGAACTTTCCCAGGTCATCGGCGACGCGTATAGAATCAGCCAGGCAGCACAACAGATTGACCTGCTCCTTGGGGCAGAGAAGCATATGGGGTACACCTTCCTTGCAGCCAGGCGGGCTGCAAATGCACACACTCGAACAACAAACCCATGACCAAGATTGCACACTTACACCCAAACCCTACCCATATTTATGGGGACTGGAGGGCACCTCCTCTTCCGCATCCAGCCCTTGCAGTCGCAGTGCCAGGGCCTACCCTTTCAAGGTGTCAGGATTGCGCTGATGAGAGGTATGAGAAGACGCTGACGCGCATGCACCCTAACGGGGGTGATGTAAACACATGCTATGGAATCCCTAAGCTTATGTCGGGCCTGTCCCCCTACAGGAGGATTCTGGAACAAAATTCACCAAATACTCAAAAGATGCCCCAAAATACAAAAAAACAGTCCCCAGACTATTTTTTTACCATTTTTGAATATCCCCCCTGTAGAGGGACAGGCCCGACTTAACCCTTGCTGTCGTCTTGTACTTCAGCCGGTTTCCGCCGAGGAGAAAAACAGCCGACGCCCCCACTTCCCATGTTTCCCATATATTTTCTGGGCAATCGACGATTAATTATGTCTGTGTTTCCCCCCTCCTGAATGGATATCACCGCCGCCCTCATCAGATTAAAAAACATCCAGGGCCTGAAGCTTTCTGGACGCACTCCTGAACGAACGCCCCCGCCGTATATGATCCAGGATCGAGGACGGTTCCTACACTGCGGGCAATCGTTATACCCATATCCAGTGCGTCTTGGACTTTCCCGGAAGGGGCGCCGCAAGGTTGAGGCGCAGTGGATATGGATAAACATCGACTCTCTAGGGGCCAGATTTTCATCCATGTCCAGTGCGCCTCGGGCTTCTGGGGAAGGGAGTCCGAAGATCCAAGCTGCAGTGGATATGGACACAAGTCTTGCCCGCATACACATCCCCCCCGCAGATGGGATGGGCCTCCAGGCTATTACGTCCCCCCCAGGGTGAGATTGGAGCGGGGGGCGGAGGCCGGTCCAGAGCCCTCGGGACCGGCTTGCAGCGCAGGGTGACTCGGCTTTCTGGAGAGGTCTGGGGCTCGTCGTCGTTGTCGCCGTCGTTCTCTCGAGCGAGAAGAGAGGGCCCCACAGCGTTCCCCTCTCAGACGAGGGTGTGGCAGAGGAAGAAGGAGCGATGGAGGAGGGCCCATGCGCGACGGGGTGAAGGAGGATTACGGTCGGAGGGGTTTGGCTGAGCGTGTCGCCGCGGCGGCCCCGGCGACACCTTCTGAGAGCGGATGCCGTGTCGCTCCGCTCCGCGGGGCGGGAGGCTGGACAAGGCTCGGGACGCTGACGCTTGGGAAATGGGGACGTGGATCATCCACGCCGTGCCGCAGCGTGGTGGGCCAGAGCCGGCGGGGCGACGCGCGATCCAAAAATCCCCAACCGCGCGGCAGCACAGAGGCCCCACACATCGACCTGCCCGTGCACGGCACAGCACGCGGGCACGCGCACGGCACACGGCGCACGGCGCGGCGCGCCACTCCACGCGCGCACGGCGGCACGCGCGGGCGGCACAACTCACCGCGTGCGGCACCCGGACAGTGCACGGCACGGCACGCGGGCGCGGCACGGCCCGCGGGCCGCACAATTCTGCGCACTCGTCGTCGTCATCGTCGTCGTCGTCGTCGTCGTCGTCGTCGTCGTGGTCGTCGTCGTGGTCGTCGTCGACGTGGTCGTCTCCTCCCTCCTCCCTCCTCCCTCCTCTCGAGCACGGGCACGACGCGGCAACCGCGGGCGCGGAGCGGCACGGAGCAGCGCGGCACGGCAAGCGGGGCGGGTTTTGTTCGCACTCGGGCGGCGCGGCAACGGCACGGGGGCACGGCACGGCCCGCCCTGGAGACCAGCTTGTCGCTGCCCTCGCCCACATGATGTTTCCATCGCGAAGCCCCAGACCACCTCGACCTTGCGACCTGTGGAACACGACAGCGAAGCTGCGCGCGAGACAGAGTACAACAGGACGACCGTCAAGCTGCAAAGTCGACGGCCCCATGCGCACTACGTTACCGCAGGCCGAGAAACGACGAAGACGCGTGCCAGAGACATGACACGGCACCCGTGAATCATGGCCCGAGGCCAAGAGAAACTGAGACACACAAGAGGGACAGTGAAGGAGGAAAACAAAATGCACCAGAGGGAAGAAACTGCACGGCAGACGCGCCATATGCATGTACCTTCGCTGACGCCACGGCCAATGGTGCCTCACAAAGATACACAGCAACGGACAGCAGAGAAAGGATAGAGAGAGAGGGAGAGAAAGAGGGAGAGAGAAAGAGAGAGAGAGAGAGGGCAGACGAGAAGGGCCACAGCACAGTAGGAATGGAATCCGCCCTTGCCCACCAGCACCAGGTGCGCCATGCTTCGGACTTCTCTCAGCGATCGCAGCGACTTCTTCCTTTTGCGCGCGAGTACCATTCCCAAGCTTTCTTTCCTGACCATCTGCTTTGTCATGAACTGCTGAAGCTAGTCGGAGGGAGGGGGCCGTATGCGGCACAAGAGTCTGAAGCTCTCCACGTTCCACCGCGCGGCCATCGTCGTCAGCACGGGGCCCGTTTTCACGACTGTCAGCGCGAGGCCAATCACCATCGCGACCGTCGTCGCCTTACCCTTACACAACCGCTTCGACGAGGCTCTTCAGCATCACGACCTTTATCGCGCAGCCCTTCGTCGTCATGAGGCCCTGATTCATGACGAGGCCCCCCGTTACCATGCGGCACTTCGTGACCACGAGGTTCTTCGTCTCCACGAAGCTTTTCACTGTAGCGGGGCGGCTCGCCATCACGGCCGCCATCGCGAGATCCACAGCCCACTCTTCATCTAGAGGCTCTGCATCTTGGATGTGAGCGTCATTACCTCCACCTTCGTCAGCACGAGGCCTTTCAACAGGCGATGCAAGCGCCCGCTGCTTCTTCGTGCCGAACTTTACCAAGTCGGCAGCGGCAAAGACATCACCAATCAACGTGGGAAGCGCGCCCGAGCTCACCACACAGAGCCGAGTGGGCCGCCAAACCCGCCCTGAAGCACCTGGTCCCACGCCGCAGCTGCTGCGCCCTGGAAGCCCCGACGTCGTTGCGGTATTCCTCCGCGTGTCTCCCAGACTCCACAATCGGCTCCCTTTCAGGACCCTTTCAGTAAGGGCTCCACGGCGCGCGACAGCGCCGAAGCCCATCAGTCGAGCGCCTCCTTGTGGGCGCTGAACATATCCTCCGTGCCTTCTTTGCGAAGAGCGCCCCTCCAAAATCGGTTCCCTCCTCCTCCCCCCTGCAGCAAGGCCTCGCGAGAAGGGGGCGCGCTCCAATGGAAAACGACGATGAGTGAACCGGAGAGCGAGGCAGGGGACCAACCGGATGCGCCGCCGTCTTCTTCCCGTCGCAAAACTCTATTGGTGACCCTACTACATCGCGATTCAGAACGTCACTCGGCAGCCTAAGAACACCGCGCGAATCGACTTGCAATAGGCAAACCCATGCTGTGAACCGTGGTCTGGGAAACAGTGCGGCGATGCATTGCTATGAACCGGCGACGCCGCCGCGCGAAGGCCCTCGCGCAGGCCGCCGCCCACTGCGTGGCAGCCAAAGGCAGCGGCCGCACTGCCGTCGGCCATGGCCCACGCGCGCAACGCGCCGGGCCGAGCGGCGGATCCCGCGAGCCAGCTCGCCGGAGCCAGTGGCCACGGAGGGTTGAGGGGGAGGAAGAGGAGGAGGAGGAGGAGGAGGAGGAGGAGGAGGAGGAGGAGGAGGAGGAGGAGGAGGAGGAGGAGGAGAAGGAGGAGGAGGAGGAGGAGGCACGTGGCACGAGGCTGGGCACCGCCGCCCGAAATTGGGCAAAGGGCGGCGGGGGCAGGAGGGCCCGCCTCAAAACTGGAAATAAGCTAGGACGAGGTAACTGTAGCCGATGAAGTAGGCCCAAGCACCTCATGGACTCGCGGGGACCTCCCCCGGCCCACTACCTGCCTGGACTGGCAGCCGAAGGGCCCAGCAGCGGCTGGGCATGAAAGGAAACAGCGTAGGTCAGCACGAGGATCTGCGTGCCCATGATGCTGCCCGGAGGGAGTCGCGGGGGGGCCCCCCAGCCCCCCAGCCAAACGGGCCCAACAGCGGCTGTGCCCGATGAAACAACCTGCTGGATCGTAAGATGCCACTCCCAAGCAGAACCAAGGATTGGCCGCGTCGCCGTAGAACCGCCAAACACCAGGAAACCCACCACAGTCGAACACAAAACGAAGCCAGTCCGCATAGCTCAGCAACGGCAGGCGGAACGGCAAGATATGAAGTGAGCACTCCCATCAAGAAAGCGCCAACCTGGAACGCGAGCCTTCGCCGAGGGACAAGCAACAAGGGTACGCACCACGGCGGCACATTTGTCTGCCGATGCCTCGCTGCTAACAACCTTCGAAGCCGTCCTTTGACATGAGAATGGCAAGTGAAGGCGCCACCTTCTCCAGCAGGGAAGACAAGGCTTCGCTCGCGCAGCGCCTGCGACGGACCAGCGCTGGCCCATGCCACGCAGCACCCACGAAAGAACTCCCAACCAGCATGTCGAAGACCATGTCCACTGTGCCCAATGGCGTCGGACCCGTTCTAAACGTCTCCGGTGGCGGTAGCGACCTGCCGACAGCTGTCGCCGCGTAGATGATTGTCTGTAGATTCCGCCGCCTGTGAAGCAGCGTGGACAGGTCCCACATGAAAACACAGTTGCGCACCGCGCTTTGCAATCTGATCCCCCGCTCGGAAATTGCCCAGTCCACTCTCTGGGCGCGGGGGCCCCAAACAAACGCGCCAACTTAGGCCTTTCGGAGGCCGAGGCGCTGCGACAGCCCGCCTTGCACAAGATGGTCCCATACCCCAGCTTAACAACATTGTGCTCGATGACCACCAGCTCAATCACTTCCTGAAAGCGCGGGGCATGCACAGGCAGAGAAACATGATCAGGAACCCAGCCGCCCAGCCTCACCATGCGCTGCATAGCCCACGCATGTACTTCGCCACCTGCTGAAGAC